GCCAGAGGAAGTGGTGGAGGCTGGTACAATAACAACATTTAAAAGGCATCTGGATGGGTATATGAGCAGGAAGGGTTTAAAGGGATATGGGTCAAATGCTGGCAAAAGGGATATGTGTCAAATGCTGGCAAATGAGACTGGATTAATTAAGGGTATCTGGTCGGCATGGATGAGATGGACCAAAGGGTCTGTTTCCATGCCATATAACTCTAAGTCTATATGACCCAAGATGTTTCACAGGTATGAAAATCATGCACGATTTTGAGACCAAACCACTTGATAAGATGTCCATGTAGATGACGGAATGCTTGGTGATAAAGAAAAGTTGTAAGCAGGGTCTTAAAGACAGAGAGAGAGATTTGTGGAGGGATTTCCAGAGTTTAGGGTCTCAGCAGCTAGAGGGATGTCCTCTAGTGTCGGAGGGTGTCTTGTGTAAAGTAAAAGACAAAGTTGTATTTGTATAGTGCCTGACAATGACAGAAACAGACAGTACAAGTTTAAGGCGAGGAACAAGTGATCGGAGAAAATTTATTTTAGCAAAAACCTGATAGAAATATGGAAATACAGAAATATGCCTGGGAGGATGGTGGAGATAGGTGCTCTTGCTACATTTAAGAAGCATCTGGTTGAGCACTGAAAATACCAGGGCATATTCGGCTACAGACCAAGTGCAGGTAAAAGAGACCAGTGTAGTTTGGTGTGTTGTTGGTTGGCATCGACATGGTAGGCCGAAGGGCCTGTTTCTGAGGCTGGATGACTCTATGACTTCAGGGAAATCCTTTTGGAAGTGTAGTGTTGTGTTAGGTATTGTGACATAAGAGTGGCAGACAATTTGCATGTTGTCATTTTACATAACCTGTGGATAGATCAGCAAAAAAAAAAAACACACCTGCTAATGGGACTTGTTGATGTCAAGTCTGTCTGAATTAGCATTTTGGACAGAAACGCTTTGTTAGAGTTGGGCTCGGTTCCAGTGAAAGGATCCACCCGTGGAGTCAATCCACTCATCCTTGCATCAGGCACTGGCGAGCGTGTCCAGATCCTTATCAGCATTTTGTTTGCATGTTCTCATCAAATCCCAACCACCTCGACCGGTCCCACAAGGAGATGTGAAAGACGACAGAGCCACTTCCTGCTGACTGAGCTCATTCTTTCCACAACCCTTGTGACACAGCAACAATAATTTACATCCCTATAACGCCTTCAAAACGAATAGAAAAAAAATTCCCCACGGTGCTTCACGTTAGTGTTACCTCATAAAATTTGGCATTCAGCTACGTGAGGACAGGTGCCCAAAAGCTTGGTCAAGGTGTTGGGCCTTAAGGAGCTTGTTTAAAGAGTGAGGGAGAGGTGGAAAGGTTTAGTGAAGGAATTTCAGAGCTAAAGGCTCACGAGATTGAAGACAAAGCCATCGATGGTGGAGCGATGAAAGCTGAAGGTGTGCTAGAGGTCAAAATTGGAGGTTAGTGAAGACTTTGAATAGTTGGAGGACTGGATAGTCTTGGAAGGTATGGAATAGGAATGTAGGGTGTAAGGTCAGGCAGCTATTCCAGAGCTTTGTATGAGTTTCCCTTTGCAAAGTGGGGAATGGCAGGAAGAATATGGAAGATGGTGGAGGAGGCTTTCTTTCTGGTTGTTCACAATAGTTGTTAGGATCCAGAATGCTCAGCCTGAAAGTGTGCTGGAAGCAGAATCAATGGCAATTTCCAGGAAAGAACTGGACAAAAGGGGCAAATATTTCCAGGAAAGGGAAAGGAAGTGAGACAAACTCTTTCAAAGAGCTGCATGGCCATGATAGACCAAACAGCCGTCCTTCTGTGTTGTATGATTCTGACATTCTAAAAGAGATGAAGAGAAAATATATTGTGAGTGCTATTCCCTAAGATGGTATCGTAAGTACATGGCAAGTATGCCACGCTATTTATAACGTTCTCCTACCTGAAACTTACCTGCTTTGTGCCAAGAGATCTAACACAGTCTGCTTTTGTTAGTGCC